CGTGCTTCGGGGCTGAAGTCTGATTTTTCAGTGTCCAAAGCCTCATTTTCAGAATCCAAAGCTTTGCTTCTAGGGCTGAAAGCTTCCTTTTTAAGGCCTGGACTCTCACTTTTAGGGCTCACAGCCTCACCTGTGGGTCCAGGGGCTCCTTTTCAGGCTTTTCATCTTTCTTTTAAGGTTGTATGCCTCATTTTTAGATTGCAAACCCTCATTTTTAAGAACAAAATCCTCTTCTTAGAGTTCAAAGCCTCATTTAGAAGGTCTGAAGACTCATTTGGAGTGTCCAAAGCCTCATTTTAAGGTCCTAGCTCTCCTTTTATATAAGAAATCCTCATTTTGAAGGGTTCAGAGCTTTATTTGCACAGTCCAAAGCTGTATTCATAAACTCCAGAGCCTCATTTGAAAGGCCAAGGCCTCATTGCAGGGTCCACACCTTTGTTTCTTGTTTCTAAACTCCAATTTTGTGGCTCCAAACCTGATTTTTAGGGCCCGGTGCCTCATTTTCAGGGTTCAAAGCATCATCTTTACAATCCAGCCCTTTCTTTCTTGGGTCTCAAAGCCTTATTTCCTGTGTCAAAAAAACCCCAGTTTTCTGGCACAAAGCTTCATTTTTCATTTCTGAAGAATAATTTTTCGGGTCCTAATGTTAATTTTGAGGCCCAGAGCCTGATGGAAGGGCTCAAAGCTGCAATTTTAGGGTACAGTCTCTGATTTCTAGTGCTCAAAGTCACAGTTTGAAGGTGCAAAACTGATTCTGGAGCCCAAATTCTCTATGTCAGGGCCCAAAGCCAGACTTTTAGGAACTCTCCCATTGTTTTATGGTACAAATGCCCATTTTAAGACCCAAAAGCCTTATTTGGAATGTCCGAACCCTCCCTTTAACATCCCAAGTCTCCTATTTAGGGCCCAAAGCCACATTGTTGGCATCACTTGCAAAATTCAAAGTGTCACCTTAGGCTTGAAATTTTCATTTCTCAGTCCGCAAGACTCATTTGTAGAACCCAGAGCTTTGATTGTAGCATTGAAATGCTAATTTTTAGGGTCCAAACTCTCATTTTTAGGGTCCAAACTCTTCTTTATATGTTCCAAACCCTTTAACTTACATCAAAGTCCCAGAGCCTCATTTTTAAGGCTGAAACCCTGATTTTAATGCTGCAAAGCCTCGTTTTTCGAGTCCAAGTCTTCCTTTTCAGGCACCAGATCTTCCTTTCTTTGATTCAGTGTGTGGTTTGGCAAGACTGAAGCCTCATTTTAAGCTCCCAAGGACTCGTTTTTGAAGCGAAAAGCCGTAGGTTTTGGGACTGAAGCATCATTTGAAGGCACAAACCCTTCTGTCAAGGTTCAGAACCTGATTTTCATTTCCAAAGCTCATTTTGAAGACCCAAACCCTCCTTTTGCGGCTCCAAACCCCTCTTTTGCAGGTAGAAGGCTCCCCTGGCGTGCCCAAAGCCCCGTATTTAGTGCCTAAATCTTCGTTTTTAGCATTCAAACGTGCCTGATGCTCTTCTGTGGGGAGAACTCGCGCTGCAGTTGCACCCCAGCGTGGGTCTGGTTGAAGTAGGAACAAGAATTTGGGAAATCATTGGCTCGGGTGCTGTTTCATGCCTCTGCTGTGAGCACAGGGCAAGACAGCACACAGGGACCTCCCATTTTTATTGTATTTTATTGTATTTATTGGCTTATTCATGCATGTCAGAATGTTATAAGGTACATAGGTATTTATAGATATTTTCCTATTTGTTTGTTTCTTTAAAACCCAGGCTTATTTGTGCATGTCAGAATGTTGTAAGATCTATAGATATTGATATATATTTTTATATATTTTAATACAGAGATGTATTGATTAATTTATATAAAACCCAGGTTTATTTGTGCGTGTTAGAATATTATAAGATGTAGAGATGTTTTTATATAGCTATTTATTTTTATTTATTTATTAATAAATATATAGCCAAGTCTGGATGTTATTATATATATGTATTTGTTTGTATACTTATTGATTTATCGATTGATTTATTTATATCTAACTGTTTGAACAAGTCGCCTCTGCTCGCTTTTGAGCTCCCTTTTTTGGCAGCACTCTCGCAGGGAGGGCTCCTGCGTGTGAGAAGACAACGGCTTCTGTAGTGCTGAAGAAAGGAGAGGAGGAGGCAGGCGTTGTTCTGGGGCTCCAGAGGCTGTTCTGTGACAACACCCCCATCAGTGGGTGTCCCCCGTCCCACCAGGCACGAAGCTGCAGAGCTGAAGGTCTGGAGACACCAGGTTCCCATGTGTTTTGTATTTCCACATTTATGTAAAAATGTATATATTATGTTAGAAATATATTTATGTAGAATGTATTTTTTGTATTTATTTCAATATATTTATACATTTTATATGTATGGTTGCACGCTTGGACCTGTCCCCTCCCTGGGAGGGGCACCACGATCTCCCGTGAGCGCCCCCAGCAATTTCGTGTCTTGGTGCCCTCACTTCCCACCTTTTTGGGCCTCTCCATCCCAGCCTTTTGGTCTCCTCAGACATCTCCTTCCAGGAATTTCACAGAATCATAGAATGTGTGGGCTTGGAAGGGTCCTTTAAAGGAATCCCTGCCCAGCACAGGGTCTAACCAACACCTCCCCATCACGGCCAAGGTGTCCTCTGTGTGATGGGAAGAGAATGTCAGCGTCCAGAGGGGAACATCGACAGCTTTCATAGACATCCATGCCCTGGTAGGGAAAAACACGCTTTTGGAATGGGTCTCTCTTTACCCTTCAGAGAGGGACATCTGGTGATTACTTCAGTCAACTAAACAGTCCGTTCCCCAAGGGTGACTCTGCTGTCCTTCGGGAGCTGCCATTCCTGGAGCCCCAGGGACACCTGGAGAGAGCCCAGAGGGGCAGAGAAAGGGCTGCCTTGGGCTGGTCCTGTGCTGCTGAGCTGGGCTGGGCTCCTGGCATGGAAGGAGCTGATGTCAAGTGGGCAGCACTGCAGAGAGACAGCTCTGCCCAGAAGCAGGGCTGGGAGCACTGCCTGGGGGCACGGCAGAGTGCTGAGAGCAACAGAGAGAGGAGAAAGGCAGTTGGGAGTGGGAGGATGCTGGAAGCTCACTGAGGAGAAATCTTCACAGCCCTCTGCATGGTAGGTCTGTGGGGGCAGGGCAGTGCAGCTTCAGTTTCTGGAAGGATCTCCTAAAACTGGAACATCTGAAAGCTTTTTGTTCTTTAAGGAGGACTCTCTCAGTGTCTCTGATGTAGAGAAAAAGGACATTCTGCAGAGCAGGGGTTTCCTGCTGCACCATCGGAGGGACAGGGCATGATGGAGGTGTGCACATGGGTGTGCATCCAGGGGTGCCCAGGGCTGTCCCTCAGAGCAGGGGCCCTGCACCCCAGGGGCTGTGTGCTGGGGCAGGGACTCTGCCGCCTGCCAGGGTCAGCACTCAGCCTGCCCGGGGAGCTCCTCATGATGCTGGGGGAGAAGGTGTGGGTGGAATGAGTGACCCCTGTCAGGGCAGGGTCCTTCTGCTGTTTAAAGTGTGTTGTGTGCGTCAGGGCTGCTCAGAGCTGCATCTTACGTGGGCAGTTCCGAGGGGACTTTCACGTACGTTTTCCTTAAAGGTAAGTAATCTTTGCTTGGAGATGTTCACTCTTGTCTTGCTGTGAGAAATGAAGATCTATTTCTGCAGTTTGAAGAAGGCAGTGAGAGACCCCAGTTCCTGGAGGGACTGAGCTGCTCCTGAGCCCCTGCACACTCTAAGATGCCCCTGGGCAGTGCTCTGCTGTCAGGAGGGGTCTGCAGGGCAGAGCTGAGCACACAGCGGTGGGATGGGGTCTGTGAGCAGTGATGGGGGACACCTGGGGATAGAGAAACAGCTGCAGGCAGCAGAGACCTGGGCAGAGAGGGAGAGGGAGCTGCCATGGGAAGGAGGGTTCAGGCACCTCCCTGACATCCCAGAGCCCTTCCCTGGAGAAAACCCTTGGTCTTTTCTCTCACCCAGCACAGCCTCTGCACTTACACCATGGGGGTGCAGTCACCTTCTCAGTGACCTCACTCCCGAGGAGGAGAAATTCTCAAATACCCTCCCATCTGTCCTTGCCCTAACTCCTTCAGGTCAGCACTGTGACATTTGTCCATATCCCCCTCCTGCCTCTGCTCCTCTCGTTCTTATCACTGGACTGGGATGGGAAGGTGGGATTCAGATGCACTTCAGAGACCAACCCTGGGGGTCTTGCCATGCAGATTTGTCCATGGCAGTAAAGTGTCCCAATCGCCTCCTGATTCCCAGGCTCCCAGTGATACAAATGAGAAAACTCTTTCTTCAGGACATCCCATGCTTAGGCCATTTGCTTCTTTCCCTGCAGAATCCTTCAGGGCTGTTGCAGGCTGCCCTCCCCAAGGGAACAGCTCTCCAGGGACATCCCTGTGTTATCCAGGAGCCCCATGGAGAAGACACCTCAGTGCTAAGCCCATGGAAATGCTGCTGGGTGACTGTGCACAGGCAGCTGCAATGAGCCCTCGGTGTCCCTGGCTGGGAGGGGAGAGCTGAGATCCTGCTCAGGTACCATGAGACAGGGTGAGAGGGTTGGAGATCTGCACGTGGAAACTGGATTCCTCTGCCCTAAGCAATATCCAGATTCTTTTGGGGTTAAGATCTGAATGTGATTGTCCTCCAAGTCAAATTGCTGCCAGCACCAGGCAGCTGAGTCCAGGGATGGTGGATATATCTGATCTTCTGACAAGCACTTTGATATGAGGAGTGGATTTAATCTGAGATCACCCTGTGTTGCTATTTCCTGTTAGTGCAGGGAAGGTTGAACTCCTGCAGAGCCTACAGCAGAGCCTCTGCTCCCATTGTGCCCTCAGACAGCACCAGACTGAACTGAAGCAAAGGAGCTGTGCAAAGTTTTTTGAGCAGGAAAGGATATTTCTGGGCTTTCATAGGAACTGGTACAGGTCTTAATCAGCAAAGACTTCCCTAACTTGTCACTTCCTTTTCCTCTATTTACAGTCATGCATTGAAAATGACCAACAGCAGCTCCATCACCCAGTTCCTGCTCCTGGCATTTGCAGACACACGGGAGCTGCAGCTCTTGCACTTCTGGCTCTTCCTGGCCATCTCCATGGCTGCCCTCCTGGGAAACGGCCTCATCATCACTGCCATAGCCTGCGACCACCGCCTCCACACCCCCATGTACTTCTTCCTCCTCAACCTCTCCCTCACAGACATGGGCTGCATCTCCACCACTGTTCCCAAAGCCATGGCCAATTCCCTGTGGAACACCAGGTCCATCTTCTACTTGGGATGTGCTGCACAGGTATTTTTGTTTGTCTTTTTTATCTCAGCACAATTGTATCTTCTCACTGTCATGGCCTATGACCGCTACGTGGCCATCTGCAAACCCCTGCACTATGGGACCCTCCTGGGCAGCAGAGCTTGTGTCCACATGGCAGCAGCTGCCTGGGGCAGTGGGTTTCTCAATTCTCTGCTGCATACAGCCAATACATTTTCAATTCCCCTGTGCCACGGCAATGCAGTGGACCAGTTCTTCTGTGAAATCTCCCAGATCCTCAAGCTCTCCTGCTCACACTCCTACCTCAGGGAAGTTGGCCTTCTTGTGGTCAGTGCCTGTTTAGCATTTGGGTGTTTTGTGTTCATTGTGCTGTCCTATGTGCAGATCTTCAGGGCTGTGCTGAGGATCCCCTCTGAGCAGGGACAGCACAAAGCCTTTTCCACCTGCCTCCCTCACCTGGCCATGGTCTCCCTGTTTGTCAGCACTGCCACGTTTGCCTACCTGAAGCCCCCCTCCACCTCCTCTCCAACCCTGGACCTTGTGGTGTCATTGCTGTACTCAGTGGTGCCTCCAACCCTGAACCCTTTCATCTACAGCTTGAGGAACCAGGAGCTCAAGGATGCAGTGTGGAAACTGATGACTGGATGTTTTTAAGAAGCAATAAACTGCCCCTCTTCTTCTGCACATCACTCACAATGCAAATCTCTACAGAACAAGCCTCTCCCTGAGTTCTTGTTTCATTTGTTTTCTTTTCTTAGTTGTAACAATGTTTTCCCAAAGAAATGTCATTATTCACACCATTCCTAATCCAGTGTCTCCCTTTTGGTCTGGCCTAGGGAGTGCATAATTACAAGTCGTGCTCTCTAAGTTGTAAAACATTAAAAGGACCCTGCCTTGACTTGTTTCTCCAAGATCTGAGAATGTCCGAGACCAAAGAAGTTTAGTTCTATCCCCAAAATGACACACTCTAAATTGGGGAACTTGCAGGGAACAACTCCTTCATGTCCTTCTTTGGCCCCTTTCAACCCCTTCCCTTCACCCTTATCGATTCCTGAGGCTCACTCCTCCCTGGTTACATTTTTGGTGGTGTACAGCTGGTGGCTGCTGTTTGTGAGCTGAGTAGAACTTTGTTATCATGGCTCCTGTCCTTGTTACAGTTATTTGGCATTTTCATTATTATTTAAGTTTTGGTTGTTAAAGTTATTAAAAGACTTTATATCAACTGACAATTCCTTAAAATGATGCTCTCCTGTTTCTCTCCCCCTAGTGGGATGGACCTGTGCAAGTGAACTGCAGGTGTTTAGAAGTTTCCTCTCTCATTACACACTACAAAATAAGTTTTCCTGTGGAGCATACCAGCTGTGCATTCAAAAGGAGTTCTGCAAGCACGAGTGACATTGCCCTCTAGTAGAAACATTTTTCCCTTTTCACAGGGCACAGAGCACATCCAGGGAATTGGAATGCACTCAGTGGCACTCACACCTCCATGGTTCATCTTTCTGGACTTCCTTCCCAATGCCTTTAAGCGACTGACACAGAAACAAATGTTCTTCCTTGTAAGTGTCCTACAGAGAGAGAGGGGACAAGAAGGATCTAAAATCTTTCAAGGAGGAAGGGGAATGGGACAATCAGACATTGTCACTGGTGTATCCTTTACTGCAAAAGGAGAATGTCCCCAGCCCTTAGACAAATCTTTGTCTCTTTCTCATCACCTGCCCCAGGACTCTTGTTGGGAACACCCCCATCATTATGCCGGTGGTGGAACACTCAAACACTTGTCCAGCCCCACCACCATGCCCCAGCTGCTGGCCAGCTTCCTGACCGGGACAGCACCATCTCTGCTCACAGCGGTGTCAGTGTTACTTTCTGCACCTTTTGCAGAAACTGAATTTTTCCTGCTGGTGACCACTTCCTACGGTCAGTAGTGGGCTGTGTGCCACTCACTTCTCTCTTGGCCAGAGTCATGAGCTGGAAGGTCTGTCTCTAGAAGGCAGAGACACCTTTCTTGGGGGATTTTTCTCGTTTGCCGTAATCACTCCTTTCCCATCCAAAACACCGTTATGTGGCCCTGGGGGTGTGGACCAGTTCTGTGATTTCACTGGAGCTCTCCTGCAGTGACATTGACCCTCACACTCTTTGCTTTCCTAACCTGCTTTGTAGAGCCAGTTCCCCTTCCTGCTCATGCTGCTATCCTGTGTGTGCATCAGAGCTTCCACCCTGGAGCAGCTCTTCTGTCCTGTGTGGGCAGGCAGAAGGTCTCCTCTGCCTACTCTTCTCCACTTTATCGTGTCAGTGTTGTCTACAGCACCCTCATTCTTGTCTGTGGGATACCCAGAACAACCCTCCTGACTGCAGTTTGGCAAAGCCCTTCTTTAGAAGGATCTTTAGTCCCTCTCATCTACAGCCTGAGGACCAGAAAGTTTCAGGGCTTGGAAGCACTGATAAAAATGCTCAGGAAAGCTGTGAGCTGAACAAAGGCCATTGAAGTTTTGGTCCTGCAGGAAGAAATCACTTCTGGATCTCTTGGGAACAAACCAAGAGGACCTGGACAGGAGTGTGCTGCATCCAAGGCACACTTCTGGAAGAGTGCGGCAGTGGTGGAGGGCATCACCTGTCTTCAGTGCTGCTGGGGTGGCTGAGCAGGGACCGCTCCAGCACAGCAGCACATTGTGTCCCATTGGATGCTGGCTGTGAGGACACTTCTGAGTGGCTGGCAGTGGGGAGGCAGATCCTTGGGAGTCATTACAATCCTGCCCTCAACAAATCAAAAGGCTGGGGGTACCTAGAACAAGGGAGATGGGAGATTGAAGGGAGGGAAGAGGGGTTTAGCCAACAGAGATGAGCGATTCTGAAGAGGAAAGATTACTGTGAATCTAATGTGAAAACATTCATGTGAGTCCTTTGCCCTAATTCTAGCCAGTAATGTGAAGTCCTAAACCTACCCCTAAATTGCACTCTTCACCCTGACAGGAATCAACCTCTCTAATCCCTATCCTCCAACCTTACCTCCAGGAACAGGGCTTGGATGTGGTTGTCACATCCCTCCCGCCAGATTACCTTCTGGGACAGCAGTGCACACAGGGTTTGGTTGTGTTTATCCAAGATGCTGAAGGGTTGGCAGTGAGCACAGGGCTTGGAAGATGATGGTGAAGTTTCTTCTGTCTAGTCAGCTGGTGCAGAAAGTCTTGCAGATCCCATCTGTAGAAGGGTCATGGCGTTTTGCTTCTGTGGTCACTTTCAGAGTTTTCTTAGAAGGAAATAAAATCACATCATCATTTGTACTGCCTCACAAGAAGCTGCCCTCATGGGAATTAGTTGTGGAGCTTTTAGATAAAGGTAAGGACATGCATCTGGCCTAATCAACAATACCAGGTGGGAGCGTCCTGCAGTTTTCTCATTGCAATCAAGTTTACCCTGCAACTCAGGAATATGCTCAGCACAACACAGCCTGAAGGCCAAGCTCTATGTTGAGCCAAGCCCAGCACAGGCCTGGAACAAAGGAGAAAAAACTTATCCCCCAGTCAAGACACTCAGGCACAGCAGCAGCTTTCCCAGAGAGCTTGTGTCATCACCATCCTTGCCATTTTTTGAGCCCCAGATTAATAAACCCCTGAGTATCCTGCTCTGTCCTCATAGCTCACCTGCTGAGAAAGGAGGTCTGCCTACAGACCTCCTGAGGTCCCATTCAAAAATCTGCATTTCAATCGACAGCAAGTCTTCCCTTCATGATGGGAGGAAAAGCACTCGGGTTCCCGGTGACCACTGGAGTCAGACAGAAACCAGCTTTGTCAGATGTTCTGTGACGTTTTTGCCCCACTCCAACCATTGTTGCTCAGATGCAGGGCTGCTTGGCAGCTACCCCCAAACAGCCTCATAATTTCCCTTGTTTAACCATTTCTTTTACTTTTTCCCTCTTTCCCCACCATCCTTGAACCCTCCCATGCAAACAGCTCATCTGTCCTTACTCCCTGGACCTAGTTTGGCTTCTTTCATACATTCATTTGGTGCTTCTGAGCTTGTCAGCAGGGGAATTCTTCCCTTGGTCAGCAATTTCAATAAACTAATACCTCCTTCTATAATCTGCAGTGTCTGCAGTTCTTCATGCTCTCGAGGACCTTCAGAATCTCTTGGATTTGGCAGTAGAAACCTTATGAAGTTTTACAATGGGAAGTAGTGAGTCCTTCTATTACTGGAAGAATAACCCCAACTATGAAGGCAGGCTTGGACCTGAACAGCTGTGAGTGACAGTGAGGAGAAGGGCCTGGCACTCCAAGCCAGTGGTGCGTGTTCAAAATTGGTAAGACCAACTGCCTACAGGGCTGCATTAAGAGGAGCGTGGCCACCCAGACAAGAGAGTTATCATCTCCCCTGACTGAGCACTAATGTAGCCACATCTGGACGTGTGTGTCTAGGTGTGAGGCAACCGAGTGCTGTGGAATGAGGAGGAACTGAAGAGTTTCTAGAGGAGATCTGCCAGTATGGGTTTTGGGGCCTCTGTAGACAGGCTGAAGGTTCTGGGCTTTAGCCTGGTGAAGTAGAGGACACTACAGTAGTAACCTACAACTGCTTAAATGGTTGTTTCAGAGATGATGGAACTTTTCTTGATAGTTGGAAGAGAAGGACACCACCAAAAAGTGCAGTTCTGCAGGCTCAGGTTGGATGCAAGGAAAAAGAAGTCTCACTCAGAGAGTATCCTTGTGGTGTAAGAGTCCACCCAGAGGGAATCTAGATCAGCCCCTGGGTTTGTATTTCAAGAAAAAGCCAGTGTGTGTCGAATGACATCAGTGAAGGTATAGAAATGCTGGAGTGAGATCTTGGTGGAAAAGCAAGAAGGGTGTCTGTAGCCTGAAGGAAAAGAGGTGCAGGTATCGGGCAGTGTAGGACAACCTGCAGTAGAGATGGCCAAGGGCTCTGGCCAGGCTGAAAGGCTCAACAGCACTTTGTGCCCTTCACTAAGGCAGTTGCCTCTGCCAACAAGGCCTACCAGGAGAAGCTTTCTTTTGAGGCTCTGGACATCATTTCACCGTTGACTCTTCTCTGGGAGGCCAGGATGTGTCACAGAATTTTTCCTGCACTTGGCATTGCTCACCCTCACATCCAACTGTCCCCAGGAAGAGTAATGAGCAACACATAAGGACAGAGGGCTTCCTTCCCAGGATCTGGGGGTGAGGGCTTGGCCTTTCAGCTTCATCAGTCAAACCAAGGGTTTTCCCAGCATTGCAGCCACCTTAACAGTGCCTTTGCCTACGTGCAATCATGGCCTCCCGTGATCAGCTCTAATGAGTCCCTGGGGAGGCTTTGTGAGTACTGGCCCTCAGTGGGACCATTAATGCTTCAGAGTACTTTGGGGTGTTCTTCTGACTTCTTGAGCAGTTTGTTAAGTCTTCTTGCAGTATCTGAAGTGCATAAACTCAGCCCCAAGTACACCATGGGACTCATTAAAATACAGAAATTCCTATGGAGCTCATAGGATTCTCATCCTGCAACTTGCTTCAAGTCTCCAAGACCCATAGAGTTAATTAAAGAGGTTTTGATAGTGTAGTTAAGGGGGAACATTTCAAAGTACATCTAATAAAATGCACTTTTTATTTTTAAGAGCATTTTTAGATTACTTTTCATTTAAGGGAAGAGGTGATAGAGGCATTCTCCAAGTGATACTGACCCAAGATGTCTCCTCAGGAGGTCTGGACAGCTAAGAAAAGCAGTCCCTCGAGGTCTGACACTGGATGGACAACCTTGCTTCTCACATCCCCAGCCTCACTGTTTCTGTCACTGGCCACCTGGGACTGACATCCCTGTTCCTTGCACCAGACTTCTCCATTGATCTCTGCAGCTGGATGTGACAGCTCCATTGCATCACCTCCCACCTGCTCTCCTCAGAGTACTGGCTGCAGACAAGCACACAGGAATTCTTTCTATTTATGAAGAGAGAAACTTAAAGCGTGAGCAAGTTTTCTAAACAAGAAAGCATAGTCTGTAACCATACATGAAGTGCAAGCTGCATCTATTGAGGCTTCCTTTCTATAAGGAGTGATCTTATCAGAAATGTTTTAGAGAGATAGATACAAAAAAAGATAAATCTGAATATTATTAAGAAGTTTGCTTAAGAGACCATTAGGGTACTGAAAGGCAGGCAAGCTTTTAAGTCCTTGAAGCTCAAAGCAACAGCATAGGTGAGAGGTATTTGAATGAGCAAAGATTAAGGGGAAGAGAAAACTGGCGACGAATGGAAAGGGCCTTTGTCAAGGCAGTCTGCATCAGAAAGATGATTTTTGAAATGGTCATTGTATCCGGACAGGTGGAAGTATGTGAAAGGCAAACTAAATACGCTGTCTAATAGGCAGAACAGTGGTAACATAGTTACACTGGAAGATCAGGATTTCTATGGACTATCCCTTTGGAAAGTTCGTGGGACTGGCAGAGTTCATTTGTCACTGAGGACAAGCAATTGTTGCACTCATCTTTGAAAAAGGCCCAAACCACGACTGCTCACTTTGGTGAGGAGTGAACCACTGAACGTCTCGTCATGGGTGACATTTCTGGTGACATTCTTTCTCAGCTGGGGGGTTGGACTAGATGAGTTCCAGAGGTCCCTTCCAATCTCAACATTTCTGTGATTCTGTGAGTAGAGAGGAGAAGAGTAAGACAGAAAGAAATGGACAACGCATAGCCTTGATCACGGATCTGGTGCTATCCCTTGTGGAGGACCCATTTTTGAGCAAGGGAGAAGTGTGAGAAGGAAGGAGCAGCAGAGATGTTCTTCATTGACTGATAACACCCCCTTAACCATCCTTCATGCTCCTCTTGGGTTTGGGGTGGGTAGATGAATTGGGAACTAATGAGTAATTTGAGTCTGGGAGGATGTCTGAGAGGAACGGTCTTTAATGCTTTTGTCATTGTTTCTCACAATCCAAATCTTTTTCAGTTGGCAATAAATCAAATTGATCTTTGGCAAATCAGTATTTCTTTGCCCATGGCAGTGTGTGATAACTAATCTCTATAATTTAGCTTGACTCATGAGATTTCTGGTTTATTTTCTCTCTTTGTCCTGTTGAGTCAAGGGAGTGAGTGAGCAGCTGGGTGGGTGTCCAAGTTCTGGCCAGGGTTAACTCTCCACAAGTCCGCATCAGGACTGCTGTGTCCAGTATGGGGCTCCCCAGCAGAAAAAAGGCCCTGACAGACTGGAGCGAGTGCTGCAGAGGCCAGAAGGATGGTTGGGACTCAGAGCACATTATGGACAAGGAGAGGCTGAGAGAGCTGGAGCTCTGAAAAATTCCCAGGAGTCAAACACTGGAACAAGAACCAGGCCAGTTGGTGGGATCTCAGACAACGGAGATTTTTAATATTTGTTAGCATAAGGCCATGAGCACCTGATCTAGCTGGAGCTGACTGAGAACTGGCTTGGCTGAGAGACCAGCTGTGGCAAGAGTTATGGGACTTGTGTGCAGCAAGTGTCAGCAGGA